TTGTAGTAGTGTTTTTAATATTTTAAAAATAAACTTGGATACCCTTGTGTTCAGTGCATAGATGTTAAAAATTGTAATATCCTTTGGTAATTTTTTCTTTAACTGCTATGTATTGTCCTTTCCCATCTCTTCTGATTACTTTTGGTTTGAAGTTCATTTTGTTAAACATTAAAATGACTACATCAGCTTGATTCTGAGGTCCTTTGCTGGAATATCTTTTTTCATCTTTTTACCCTGAAGTGACATCTATCCTTGATATTAAGGTGTGTTTCTTAGATATAGCAACAGAACTGATCCTGTTTTTGTGTCTGCCTGTGTCTTTTTATAGGAGAATTGAGACCTAATATTAATGTTGACCTAATATTCAGTGATTTTTTTTAATTCCTGTTATTTTGTTTTTATGAGGTGTGTGTATATGTGTGTGTGTTCAGCCTCTTGTTTTGCTGCTCTGGGATAATATATTTCTTGTCTTCTTCAGATTGGAGCTTTTCTTCTAAGGCCTTCTGTGAAGCTATATTTTAGATAGATATTGCTTAAATTTTATTTTATCATGGAATGCCTTATTTTCTCCATCTATTGTAATGAAATGTTTTGCTGGGAATAATCATCTGTGGTCTCTTAAAGTCTGCAGCACATCTGACCGGGTCCTTTTGACTTTCAGAGTCTCCATTGAGAAGCCAGGTGTAACTCTAATAGGTCTGCATTCATATTACTTGGTCTTTTTCCCTTGCAGCTTTTAATATTGAGTATTATGTGGCAAAGGGAGTTTCTTTTCTTGTCCAATCTATTTTGGTATTCTGTATGTTTCTTGCATCTTAATAGGCATCCCCTTTTAAAGGTTAGGTAAACTTTCTTCTATGATTTTGTTGAATATATTTTTTGGACCTTTGACCTGGATTTCTTCTCCTTCCTGTATTCCTATTATTCTTAGATTTGATTTTTTTCATAGTGTCCCAGATTTCTTTTATATTTTGTGCCAGAAGTTTTAGAGGTTTAATATGTTCTTTGATCAAGGCATACTTTTTTTTCTATCCTGTCTTCAGTGCCTGAGATTCACTCTTCCATCTCTTGTATTCTGTTGGTGAGGCTTGCCTATGAGGTTTTTGTTTGAGTTCCTAAATTTCCATTTACAAAATTTGCTCAGTTTTCTTTATTGATTTGGGTTTTCCTTATTGGTTCTATTTCTACTTTCAGGTCTTCAGTATTTTTGGTAGTGTCCTTACACTGTTCATGTTTTTATATATTTCTTTCAGGGTTTATTCATTTTCTCTTTATAGACCTCTCTCATATTCATCAAGGCTATGTTAGGGTCTTTATTTAGGGCTTCTCTATGTTGTAATACTCAGGGACTGTTGTGATAGTCTTAATGGGCTGTACTGAAGATACATTTTCCTGGCTGCTATTGATTGTGTTTTTACATTGGCATCTAGACATCTGGGTTTGGGAAGAATATAATTTTAGGTGCTGATATCTGGTCTCATCTTTATTGAGTGGTTGTTTTCTTCCTTGGTTTCTGTTGCCGTTTCTTGTTCTTAGAAGAGTGTGGTAAATGTGTGTTTTCTGTGTGTAGGTAGGAAATTCTTCTGGGAACCTATGGTGCTTTAAATAAGAATGACCGACATAGGCTCATGTATTTGGGTGCTTAGCCACCAAGGAGTGGAACTTTTTGAAATGATTAGAAATATTAGGGTATATGTCCTTGTTGGAGGAAGTGTGTCACTTGGGATGGGTTTTGAAGTTTTAAAAGCCCACCCCATGCTCAGTGTTGCTCTCTCTGTTTACAGAGCAGGATGTAGCAAGCTACTATTCCAGTGCCTGTCTGCATGAGGATGGGCTAAGAGTGAGGAGTGGTGAGGAGATCCACAGAAGGGAGTAAAGCAGGGTGTTCAACCTGATTCAGGTTAGTCCCTGGGAAATGGAGCATAGGGTGAGGAGAGGCAGCATCACATGGTCTACTACAGAGCTAGGGATGAAACTGCAAAATTGGGTTTGGAGGAATGGAGGGAGATGTGAAGATCTGCCTACCTGCTTCACAGGCTACATTCTTTTCTTATATTTTAAACAATATAACATCTTATTAATTCTTTGGGAATCTTATACAACATATCTTAATCATATTTGCCACTTTCCCCTCCCCTGCAAACACTTCCAGATTCACCTCATCCTCTTTATTCCCCATCACTTCATATTCTGTTTGTCCATATTTTGTTTGTTCTTTTAGAGGTGGCTATTTTGAATCAGATGTTCCAAGATATAAGTGAAACTATTGGTTCTTTATTTTGCCTTACTGGCCACTGTAGGACTACCATTTGCTTTTCTCTGTTGGTAGCTTTCACAGCTGCTTCTTGTACTATGAGAGCTATTCCTCAGTTAGGAGACTTCCAGATCATCTCCAAATCAGTTCCTCCATTCCCACTTCTCAAGACTAGCATCTTTGTTATCTATACTGACCTGGCTTGGATGTGATAAACCTATGATGTACCTAAAAAGTCTCATTCATCCCCAAACTCCTGCCAAAGCTGTGGTGGAGTTTTCAGTTAAGACCTTGGATATGGCAAGCTCTCTGGGACGAGGACCTGGATGGGTCAGGAGAACATACAACTTTATCTTTCTCTTTACTAGCAATTCGGTTGATGGGCACTGCACTCAAGAGGGGTAGCTTGAGCATGGTCCTTGCTGCTTCTACCTAGGGCCTGTCATCTGTGTCTCCTGTAAATCTCCTAGTCCAGTAATACTTCTCCCTCCTACCCCTTTCTCCTCAGTGCTGTTAAGTGGAGGAACCCAGGGTCTCATGCATAGAAGGCAAGCAATCTAGCAACTGAGCTATGACCTCAGGACCCTCTCCCATCTCAGGGTTGGTGTAGCAAAGTAAAGCCAAAGGGGACAGATGGAGGAGGATAATTGTATTTTTAATGTCTACAGTACTGGGCTTGAGGTTTTTGGAAAGAAACAACAGAAGTTATTTACCTTCTGCTCAGCTATTTCCTTCTCTTGAGCCCAAGAGCCATCTTATTTGCTTAAAAATAAAAGTGAAAACATAACAGAAGCTGTACATTTTATGTTGCAAAATAATACCCTAGCTACGAATGAGATTAATACACAAGTGAGTGGATACACACGTGTTACTGGTGGAAAATGAAGAGATTCAACATGGTATCTTCTGATCAAAAAGGTAGGAAGCAAGGACACTGTGGAAAAAGGGTGCAGAGGTACCCCTGGTTGGAGAAGAGCAGAGAATTTGAAGTAGTCCTGGTGGCTTGAGATTTAGAATTCGAATGGTGAGTACAGGATTCCAGAGACTATCTGAGGTTGATGGTGTTAAATTTCTCTTGATGCCAATATGTCCTTGATGGATTATTTTTTGAAATAGTGTCTGTAGGTTCAGAGAAAGCCAAAAGCAGGGTTTGGGGGACAATGGCTTTGCTAGATGAGTACCAAAATGACAGAGGGCAAGCAAGTTTGGATTACTGGCTTGAGTGTTATTAAAATAATGGCCCAGTACTAGTGACATAGCTCAGTGAGTGCCCCTGCCCAGAGCTGATCCTCACAACCTGAGTTCAAGCCCTAGCCCTCAGGACACACAAAATTAGAAGAGAACCAACTCCTTTGGGTTGTCTTCTGACCTCCATACACATGTGCATGCACACACACACACACACACACACAGAGAGAGAGAGAGAGAGAGAGAATTTTAAAATAAAAAAACCGAAAGAGAATGACCCATAATCTTTTAGATGAACATGAAAATTTGAAAACAAAGTAAGGGGAGTGGGCAAGGTGGAAATAAAGAATGGCTGGAAAGTAAGAGAACTATGGACAAAAAAAACAGTGTTTCACAAGTGGGGAAGCTTTGGTAAAGAGAAAGATAAAAGATCCTTACAGATGTCCTCTTTTTTCCAATCAGAAACCTTTCCTTGGTGGAGATGAGTAAATTTGCTTTCAATGTTTTGTTAATCTTCCCACACTTTACTTACATTGGGTGAGAGATAGCTCTCCTTTCCTTGTTCTCCATCGAGTTGAAACAGAGAAAAACTTAACATTTTTAGTTCTCTTTTAACTTTTAGTAATTTTAAACTTAATCTGCCTCTTGGATTTCCAATTACCTTTTCATCTGTCATTTGGTACACATCTCTATGTATACTTTTAAACACCCATTTCTTGGGGTGAAATTCGGCATTTTGCCACTCCATTTCTGCAACTATCCTTGTGTATGTGGGGATTAAATTGTGGTAACAACCCCTAAGGGTTGGAACCTCAGAATAATGGGCACTGAAAATTAATCATAGTGCAAATGAATAAATTGAATGCCTGTAAAATGTACAGGGCCCTCCCAGGGTACAATCCAAGGAAGAAAACACTTAGAATTTCACAAAGGCTGCTAGAACTTAATGATTAAATTTGTTGAGCAAATCCAACAATGTCTCTCAGCTCCCACCAACCACCATATAAAGTGCAGGTGAGTATCTTTTATCTTCGCTGAACATAGCAGCTTTTGCTACTTTCTGGATAGAATGTAGCAACAACCACTGCAGAAATTATGGGGGCACTGGGCGTAGATCGTTGCAAGACATCATTTGCCTAGGACCAGAATGGCAGGGCAGTGGACCAAAACAGAAAAAAAAAATCGTAGCGTTCTTGGGGTGGGGTTCATGTCCAGTCACTGGGTGCGTTCTGTACACTCGTGACTCTTGCTTGCCTGACGTCGGTTAGTTAAGAAACTTCACTTTGTTTTGAAGGAATTAGGGAAAGGTGAAGTAAAGCTCAGTGCGCCCCAAAGGGTGTCACTGACTTATGGCATACTCGTCCAGATCTAGCCAGGCAGAGAGCGAATCCGGGAGAGTTAGAGGGCGGGGAAAAGCTTCGGGTACCGTGGGACAGGGCAGGCTGCTGCTGAACAGGCCAATGAGCGCTCTCAAGAGATTGAGCCAAGAGGAGTGAGTGAGCAGGCACCACTGCCTCCCAAGTTTCCTCTGGTGGATGCACCGCCCGGCCGCTCCGCTCCACCCACCGCTGAGGGACCAAAAGAGGCCAGAGCCGCGGACTCTGGGTGGGTTTCGGAGGCAGAACCGCCAGGCGAGTGCTCTGCCCTGGGGGGGAAGGGAGGGGGAATTTGGTGAACTATGAAGGGTCGGCGGAGGCGGCGCCGAGAGTACTGTAAGTTCACGCTGCTCTTGGTGCTGTACACGCTTCTGCTACTGCTTGTCCCCTCTGTACTGGACAGCGGCAGCGAGCAGGACAAGGGCGTCAGGCACTGCCTCCGCCTGCAGCGGAGCTTGGGCGTGTGGAGCCTGGAGGCTGCAGCAGCCCGGGAACGTGAGCAGGGCACTGAGGTTCGTTTCCCAGCTGAAAAAGACGTGGGTCGATCCTCTTGGTCCCAAGGCAACCTCAGCGCCGTCGGTGAGACAGTGACCCAGGAGAAGCAACACATCTATGTGCATGCCACCTGGCGCACTGGCTCGTCCTTCCTGGGCGAACTCTTCAACCAGCACCCGGACGTTTTCTACTTGTACGAGCCCATGTGGCATCTATGGCAGGCGCTGTATCCGGGCGACGCCGAGAGCTTGCAAGGCGCGCTGAGAGACATGCTGCGCTCGCTCTTCCGCTGTGATTTCTCGGTACTGCAACTGTATGCGCAGCCTGGTGACCCCGCAGATCGAGCGCCAGACTCGGCCAACCTCACCACGGCCATGCTTTTCCGCTGGCGGACCAACAAGGTCATCTGCTCGCCGCCTCTGTGCCCTGCCGCGCCCAGGACGCGTGCAGAGGTGGGCCTCGTCGAAGACAAAGCCTGCGAAAGTAGCTGCCCGCCCGTGCCACTCCGTGCCCTGGAGGCCGAGTGTCGCAAATACCCGGTGGTGGTCATCAAGGACGTGCGGCTGCTGGACCTGGGCGTGCTGGTGCCCCTGCTCCGTGACCCGGGCCTCAACTTGAAAGTGGTGCAGCTCTTCCGAGACCCACGGGCAGTGCACAACTCGCGCCTCAAATCGAGGCACGGACTACTGAGGGAGAGCATCCAGGTGCTGCGCACACGCCAGAGGGGTGACCGCTTCCACCGGGTGCTGCTGGCGCATGGCCTGGGTGCCCGTCTGGGAGGCCAGGCCCGAGGGCTGCCTTCGGCGCCGCGCGCCGATTTCTTCTTAACCAGTGCACTTGAGGTGATTTGCGAGGCCTGGCTGCGTGACCTGCTATTCGCTCGTGGCGCGCCCGCCTGGCTGAGGCGTCGCTACCTGAGGTTGCGCTATGAGGACCTGGTGTGGCAGCCTCAAGCCCAGCTGCGCCGCCTGCTGCGCTTCTCCGGGCTGCGGACAGTCGCTGCGCTTGATGCCTTCGTTCTCAACATGACGCGAGGCTCGGCCTATGGCGCTGATAGGCCCTTCCACTTGTCTGCCCGGGATGCCCGAGAGGCTGTGCATGCCTGGCGCGAGCGTCTGAGCCAAGAGCAGGTGCACCAGGTGGAGGCCGCCTGCGCTCCTGCCATGCGACTGCTGGCCTACCCTCGCAGCAGAGGCAAGAGCGACTTGGAAAGAGAGACACCACTGGAGACCAAGGCCATCTGGGCCACATAACACTCTGATCCCCAGGGAAGATCCAGCCAGGTAAGGGGCTCTGGACAGGACATAGTGTAAGGAATGGTGTTGGGGGTTGGATTCTGAAACAACCAGCGAGTGTGGGGTGAGGGGTGGCTAGAAGGGACAGTGCTGTTCTGAATGGCATGCTGTCAGATCAAGTCTAAGAAAGTCCTGCTTGGGAGAGTTGAGGTACTTCAATGGGGAGAACTTCCTTCCTTGCTTGCTTAGCCACCTCCCTTCTCAGAGGAGGACCTAGAAGTGAGAGATGTGTAACTGAAGCAGCATCCAGATCTCTGCTCTCCCAGTACCCTTTATATGAAGGCATCACAGATCCAAAAATGGTAGAGAAAGTCTAAAGCATCGTAATGCAACTCCATACTGGGAACTGCCATGGAGCGAAGTGTAGGATTTAGATAACCCTGCCAGACTGATAGTTCTGAAGTAGATGACTGTTTGTCCTATGGGGCAGCTTTTTGCCATGGTGTCTGCTGCCAGAGAAAAACGAAACAAGGTGTCATTGAAAAGTATAGATTTTGCCCCTACTTTTCAACTTAATTTTTCTGTCTGATATTTCCTTGTCTCTCTTCTTCTTGGGCTTCAGGACTTTTCCTCCTGAATACTAAGTGTGAAGGCACAGTGAGGCAGTTTTTGCAATAGTGTATGCACAATTGTGTGTTCCCCAGCTCTAGTATAAACCAGTAGAACGACATTTCTTTCCCCTGGCTTGTGTGTGCCTTTTTCCCTTACTCTTCTTTGCCCTCTCTCAGAGGCTGGGTGCTGTTTTCAGGATATCTGGCCATATCCTGTTTGTATCAGGTTCCAAAAGCTGCTTGGTCAGCTTCCTTTAGTGCTCTAAGAAGGCTGGGCTGGGTTTCCCCCAGCACCATTCCACTGCTTTAGCCTGGTAGTTAGCAATTTGTCAAGTAAACCCCTTTTTTGTTCATTTTCTATAAAGTGCTTGCTAAAATGTCCTAGAACTCTCTCTGTATGTGTCCAGTGTTGTGTTAACAAATGGTGTGTAACATGCAGTAGAAGGAAGATTGTTCTGTGTGATGCTCACCATAGGAATGTAGTCAGTGGCATGGGAATGCATTTCCCCAAACACTGTGAATTGGAAGAGTGCCTGCTGCCTTCTGTACAGTGCAGACCAGAGGAAGAAGAAAAGCAATGCAGGGAGGCCGGAAGTGACTTAAGTTTCCATTCATTATTTTATAGTGTAATTCAGTATTCCCCTGGGATGGGCTGGAGGGACAAAGGTTGAACAAGTTAATGAAGATGGATTTTTTGGCTAATAGACCTATGGTTTCAGGAAGCTGGCTAACTGAATTTGTTTCTCCCAGTAATCAAGTCAGTTTCTATAATTGCTATGAAGTCTGTGTTCTTTCCTGATTTCCTGAGTAAAAGAATGTAAAGCACAGGGTGACTCCACACACCTTAACAAAAACATCCTATCATCTGCTAAACCATATTTACATATATAATAGTCCCTACTTCACCTTCACAAATCTCAGGAAATTCTTCCCCTGGGCAAAAGCTGCAGCATTTTATGGCTTTTGTTTATTGTTTTGTTTTTTTGAGACAGGGTTTCTCTGTGTAGTCTTAGCTGTCCCAGATTTGCTTTGTAGACTAGGCTGGCCTCAAACTAACAGAGATCCAACTGCCTCTGCTTCCCCAAGTGCTGGAATAATAGATGTGTGCCACCACACCCGGCTCATTTTTTAAGACCTGAAAATCTCCTAGACAGTTTTGTTCCACATAATTTCCCCAATTTGTTCTGACACACTAAATGATGTCTGGAGCACAGTAATAGAGAGGAAGGTAGAAGACTTTGTCCCCTAGGAAGTGCACGTCTGTGTGGGTGACAGTGACTGTGGGCAAAGATGCTGGTGCTACTGTTTGAAAGGCTGATGGAGTTTCTCTGTAGGGCTACAGGGGCATCTGGATAGAAGTTTTTGGTTCTTGTAAAATTTGGTGACTGATCTCTTCCTTCTGCATTGGGCACTTAATATCAATCTGTGGATGTATTAAACTGTTTGTATTCCTGACCCCTAACAAGATAATCTGGTTATAAAAATTCAGAGACACACAGGCAAACTTTGGGCAGAGAACAGGGAATCTTATGAAAGAAGTGGGGGTCGGGAATAGAAGGACCTGGAAGGGACAGGGCCCAACAAATCTGGGCCCAGGGGTGACTACAGAGACTGGTGCACCAACCAAGGACCATGCATGGAGAGGGACTAGACCCCCTGCTCAGGTTCCATGTAGGTTCCTGAGTAAGGGGAGCAGGGATCATATCTGACATGAACTTGGTTGCCTGCTCTTTGATCATTTCGCCTTGGCAGTGCAGCCTTGCCAGTCCACAGAGGAAAAGGATCCAGGCAGTCCTGATGAGACTTGATAAGCTAGGGTCAGATGGCCAAAGAGGAGGCTCCCCCTTTCAGTGGACTAGAGGAGGGGAATAGGGGAGAAGAGGAAGGGAGGGAAGAAGGGTGGGACCAGGAGGAGACAAGGGAGGGGGCTACAATCAGGATATAAAGTGAATAAATTGTAAAAATTAAAAATTAAACAATTATAAATAAATAAATATCTTCTCCAGAACCCACCACCTACTCGCTTCCTTCTCACTGGCTAGAACTAGCTCACATGGCCTATCCTAGGCCAATAATTGGCGTAAGGGAATGGAAGCATCTTAAGTGGTTCATACCAGCAATTCTCAGTCCTGGGTAAAAGCTACAGTTGACTTCCCCTAATCTTTAGTGGATATGTTTCCAAGACCCTCAGATAACAGTGTACCTTATATGGGCCACGATCTTCCTTATTCATACATACATATGAGAAAATTTAATTTCTAAATTAGGCACATTAAAAGATTAACAGAAATATGAAAATAAAATAATATATGAAATAATAAGGGATTATAATAAAATTTTCTCAGTGTATTGTTTCTGGGTTACCATGAGGCAGGTGGTGCTTACAGTGTGAATCAATTTGACCTGCTGGACAAAGGGTAGTTTCCATCTCAGGTAGAACGCAGCAGGATTGCATGACAGTTCATCCTGCTACTCAGAACAACACTGTAAAGCTTATAAATGATTTCTTCAACTTTCTATGACTATATCTGGACTGTGGTTGACAGTAGGTAATTGTAGCCTGAGAAAGGAAAGACATACAGGTAAGAGGGAACCACTACTATCTATCCAGATGAGGAGCTTTTAGAAAGATGCCCATGCCTGAGTTCTTCCCTTCCCAACAGATGTTTTTGGGGTGGTGATCGGTGTTGGAGGTAGAACCCATGGTCCAACATGCTATACGCAGATGCTGTACCAATGAGTTTCACCCCAAGCCCAGGTGATCTGATTGATTCATTCTGTGGTGAAAGCTCCTAGACCCAAGCATTGAGGTTTTCAAATTTCCCAAGGAGATTTTACTGTACACTTCAAACTGCAAACCACTTGGCTTGGCATGGGAGCAAGGTCAGAATGAGAAATCAAGGGCTGTTGATAAGCAGCAAACTCTGCCACAGTGTTTTATGTGAAAGTATTGAAAGCTATGAAGTTCTTTGCAGATCAAAGGTGTTATTATGGAAAGGGAAATTACACACAGGACTGTTTATCACCTGCAGATGCCTTCAGATGTTTTGTTCGTAGCTCCATATCTAAGAGTCCATTGTTGCATGAACACTACTTACTCCTGTTATGATCAAAGTGATAAGCTGTCCTGTCTTTCTTAGCATGTCTCCCTTTGCCCTCTACCCCTGGGAGGATGCAAGGTGTCTTAGTTTGACGAAACAGCATGACCAAAAGTAAGTTGGGGAGGAAAGGATTTATTTGGCTTACACTTCCACATCACTATTCATCACTGAAGGAAACCAGAACAGGAACTCACACAGGGTAGGAACCTAGAGGTAGGAGCTGATGCAGAGGCCATAGAAGGGTGCTGCTTATTGGTTTGCTCCACATGGCTTGCTCATCTTGCTTCCTTATAGGACCCAAGATCACCAGTCCAGGGTGGCACCACTCACAGCAGGCTGGGCCCTCCCACATCAATCACTAATTAAGACAATGCTTTGCAGCCAGATCTTATGGAGGCATTTTCTCAATTGAAGTTAACTTCCTTTTCAATAACTCTAGCTATGTCGAGTTGGCATAAACTAGTCAGCATACAAGATTTCATCCATACTTCCTCTGTAAGTGTGTGTATGTCTACATGAACATGTACATGTTTATAGAACCAGAGCTTTAAACATGCTGACCATGTGTTCTACCTCACTGAACTATTCCCACAATGCCCTAAGACACTTAGGTCACTTTAGTCTTTGTTCTTGACAGGATCTATGCTGCCAGTAGAAGAAACTAAATACAGAGGCAGCAGGTGTCCTGTAGCTTAAGTCCTAACAATTAGAAAACTTTCACAGGTAATCATTCTAAACTAAAGAAGTGATGAGCTACCACCATTTTGGAACTCATTCCATTTAAATCAGTGAATTGAACCTCAATGTTCTGTGTGATATTATGTATAATTATCACTGAAATGCCACCTTTGGTTTAAACATAGACTGCTGAATAACACCATTTTAAAAACACTGTTTCTATACAGAACTTTTGTTTATTCTAATTCTCAGTAGCAAAATAAGCTGAGTACTGTGTTTTTGTCAGAGGTCAGGAAATTAATATAATGGGTTGAGGTGGTGATGGTGGTGTGTATATTTGTGTGCATGTTCAAACACATAAGATGTGAGTGTAGGGAGGAGCAGCCTTACCATGTCACAGAGGAAGACAATGCAGCCAGTCCTGAGGAGACCTGATAGACTAGGGCCAGATGAAAGGGGAGGAGGACCTCCCCTATCAGAGGATTTGGGAGGGGCATGGGAGGAGATGAGGGAGGGAGGGAGGATGGGATTGGGAGGGAATGAGGGAAGGAGCTACAGCTGGGATACAAAGTGAATAAAATGTAATTAATGTAAAAAAATTTAATAATAAATAAATATAAAAAGATGTGAGTGTATATGCATATAGATAGGGAGAAAT